GTCTTTCCGAAAGCTGAAATATGCTCTAACTCACTATCCTGTCCTCAAGATTGCCGACCCGTCTCTTCCTTTCATTGTTACGACTGACGCAAGTCAGTATGGTGTTGGCGTTGTCTTACAGCAAGACGACGGCAAGGGCTACCGCCCTATTGAGTTTATGTCTAAACGACTGTCGTGCGACAAAGTCGCCAACTCCACCTACGAAAGGGAGTTATATGCATTTGTTTGTGCCCTAGAAACGTGGAAACACTATCTCCTTTGCAGACACTTCACTGTGTACTCGGACCATTCGACTTTAAAGTGGATCAAGACACAACCTCGATTGTCTGACAAGTTGGTGCGTTGGTCTGCTTTTATTGATACCTTTGATTTCGAACTCAAAACAATTAAAGGTAAGTCTAATGTTGTAGCAGACGCACTATCTAGGAGGAGTGACTTCTTTGGGGCTATCGTCTCTTACCTGGATGTTGGGAATGATGTGAAAGCTCAGGTTCGCGCTGGATATGCCACTGACCCTGTCTGGAAACCAATCATGGATATCCTAGCCAAGGATCCATCCCAACTTCCTCACTACCGATTGTCTGATGGCTTACTCTTCTTGTTGGACCAAACTGAACAGAGATTATGCATTCCTCACAAGGAAGAACTTAAAAGTCTGCTGATTGGGGAATGTCATGACACAAAAGGACACTTTGGTTTCAAGAAGAAGTATGCTGAAGTACGTGAGCACTATGAATGGAAGGGTTTGAAAGAGGATGTGCTAACATATGTTCGTACATGCCAAATATGTCAGAGAAACAAACCGTCTACTGAGAAACCTTTGGGGTTACTCCGACCACTACCTATACCGAGTGAGCCAGGTGAGTCTGTATCCATTGACTTTATGAAACTCACCAAGTCCCGAAATGGCAATAGTCAAGTTATGGTTGTGGTTGATCATTTCTCTAAATATGCTATGTTCATACCCTTGCCTGCGGAAGCCAAGACTGAGCTTGTGATTGCTAAATTTCAGATGCGATGGGTAACTGAATATGGGTTCCCTATGTCTATCATCTCTGGCCGCGATGTCAGATTCACAAGCATGCCTTGGCAGAAATTGATGGAAGCCTACGGTACACGACTCACCATGTCGTCAGGTAGACACCCTGAAACGAATGGCCAGTCTGAGCAAATGAACCGTATGGTCCAACAACTTCTGAGAATGTATGTCCGTCCTGACCAAATAGACTGGGATGAGAACTTACCCAAGATTGCCGGTGCATATAACAATAGTGTGCATATTGCGACAGGACGCACACCTAACGCACTGCACAAGGGCTGGAAGCCTAAGCGTCCCATTGATGTTTTAACCAGGGATCAGTTTCTTAGACTTCCACCAGGGACAAAGGAATATGCCATTATGTTTCAAGAAGACATAAAAAAGGTGAAGGAGAATCTGAGAAAAACCCAAGAGCGCATGATTGACCAAGCTAACAAACACCGACGCCCGTCTACTTTTCAAGTTGGTGACTTGGTCTGGGTTAAGTCCAAAGAATTCACTCTAGAAGAGGATGTTTCTCAGAAACTGATGCCTGTCTATCTAGGACCCTGGGAAGTTCTCAAGGTGATAGGGGATGCCGATGGACCATCATACCGGATTGACATTCCCCCTCATCTTCGGACATACCCAGTCTTTCACGCGTCTAAACTCCTTCCATATGCAGAAGGAACAAAATTTCCTCACCGACCATCTGCCATACCTCCTTCTATGAATGGCAGCTATGTGGTTGAGAAAATTACTGACCATGGATTCTTTTCTACTGGTGGAAGAGGCAGACCTCATAAGCAGTATAAAGTAAGATTCCAGTTCCAAGATGCCTCTGAAGACCATTGGTTTAGCAGAAGGGAACTGATGGATATTGCTCCTAATATTGTTGCTAGCTATGAACGCGGACTGAAGTCTTAAGTATTTCTGCGGTGGAACTCAAATTCGGTCCGGCAGGAATGCAGTAAACCGCGTTCAGCAGCGGCCTGGGCGCTGTAACCCAAGCCCAGGCCCAGCGAGCAGTGCGACCACGCGCTGCTCGGCCTCAGGCCGCTGCGGGTGACTGTGTGACCGCGCACAGCAAGAAATTCGAAGGTCAAAGTAAACTGTAGGTCCAGGAACCTCGCCCAGGCCCTTGGTCGTGTGCATCGACTTGTATGAGTGCAGGTACCCAGTCAGAACGGTGGACCAAGGAGGATACAGT